AGGTGTGTTGCTTCAAGATTGGAATGGATAGCTTTGATCAGAAAATACTGAACTAGAAATAGCACAACAACATGTCTTCTCTGGTTTCAACAGTTCTGGTGGGAAACTGCTCAGCATCCAACTTTGTGAGTCTGGGTCAGACAGGAGGAGAGAGAACTGCAAAAACTGTAGTGAAGGAAATTAAAGGGGTCAAGCTTTTCTTTTTGATGTATCACTCTGGCTTTGGGGTGGATTTTATGTGCACATTATCTAGATTTGAGTACAAACAATTTATTGTGACAGTTTGGGTCAGCAAATTCCAGACATGATAAATCTTTCAAACTTTTCTACTGTCAGCCTCCATTTGAGCTTCCTGCCTTGTGCCCAAGGGTAGGCATTAATATACAGCTTCTGTCTTCCTCCTGAGCAGTTGTTTTCCATTGCCCCACTTCTGAAATACTTCAAGACCCTGACTGCGACACCTGGCTCTGTGCTGCCTTTCAAGGAGCCTGGGCTTAGTTATTTAGTGGAATAAGAGCAAGAAAACACATCCAAACTAACTCCCCTGCAATCTGAAAGAAGCACTAAGTAGCTGAACTGGCTCACTGAAAAGTATTTTGCCTGTGGTCTGCCGAAAGGGTCACTTTTTGCACCATCCCAGTGAGACCTCATAACTTTGCCTTACAGAAAGAGTTATGCTGGGCACTTGCAGACATGACTGGCCGTTCTTGTCTGAACCACCACAGAGAAGGGTTTTCCTTCGAGAGGGAAATCCCTTGCAAGGCAGTGGGACAGCATTTGCATGCACAATGCCCAAATAACTGCCACCTCATTTCATTACTCTCCAAAGACTCGTGAAATACTTAGACATAAGCATAAATTGTCTCCTCCTGGGACAGCTGTGGGAAGGCTCACTTGGGGCACGGGGCTGCTGGTGCTTGAGCCTGATGCTTGCTTTGGGCTGGATTAGCTTTGCCTGGTGCCTGGGGGCATTCATCTGTAGATCTCTGGGAGGATGAAGCAGCAAATGGAAAAAAGGGGTTTGTATTCAACTGGACTAAGATGAAATGAAGACAAACTGGAAGAAAAGGCTTTCCAAACTGAGGGTTCCCAGGGTTTTATGATTGTGGGATGATACAGAGTGATTTCATCAACACTTCTACCTTTATACCACCATGCCAAGGCAGAAGTTATCTTTTCCATCACGGCTTCTGTCAGTTGCCTTTGTCTTTGCTTATCCCAGGCAATATTTGTAGTTTCTAGTTGCCATCATCTTCTGCTTCCCAGAAAGCAATGGATCTTCAAGGGAAGTCATGCCTCTAGCTTCTTACTGTTCAGGAGCTGATGTTTTCTGGCATAACATGGGGCTGCAACATCTGCGGCGGGTGGGCCACAAATAAATACCTGAGACTTGTTTGGGTTATGGCCTGAAATGGCAGCTGAAGGATATGATGTATTGCATAGGAAAGGACAAAGGCAAAGCATCATTTAATGACTTTAATTCCCCTAGTCTGAGAAGCATTTAATTCCCCTAATCTTGGAAATAGCAAAGAGGTGCTGTTGGGCATTGCCTCATGCTGGGATAGAGCAGATTATCATTTGTAGGTCAAAAGCATTTATAACTAAATTCCCACACTAAAGCCATGCTGTTCTGATTTTTTCTTTCTTCCCATGGCAGATCCCAGTGATGGCAGGATCAGCCTGAGATGAGCTATCCATAGCTGGGGCCAGGCCTTGTTCCCAGGGCTCCCTGCCCCATTACAATGAGGAGCCATCTGCCAGCCTAACAGACAGATTTTGTGGCGGAGCTGGCTTTTCTTTTCTGTCAAACCTTGAGAAATTTCATGTAACGGCAGAGCCACTTCTTGCCCCCTCCTTGTGCCACCTCGCAGCCAGGACTTGGTGGTGGAGGGCCACCACCATGGCGGCGAAGCAGCCCCCGCCGCTGATGAAGAAGCACAGCCAGACAGACCTGGTGAGCAGGCTGAAGACACGCAAGATCCTGGGGGTCGGCGGAGAGGATGACGACGGCGAGGTCCATCGCTCAAAGGTGAGGCCAGAGGAGAGGGAAGCCTGCAGTAATGATGGAAAAGAGACCACCTGCTGGGCAAACCAAGGTGGTGTGGAGCTTTTTTAGAACCTAGTTTCTGCATCCACTTTGGCAAAAACAGGCTCCCAACTCCAAAAGGCTCCTCTAAAGGGAAAGATGAAAGCTGTGGTGGCACAAGCAATGCTGCCTTTGAGCAGTGATGGGCTGTGCAGCCTGCTGGGTGAACAGGAGCTGCCCAACATTGCTTTTGGTGATAATAGGGGAGCTCTGCCCTCAGGCTTCCTTAACTCAGTCCTGACATGGTATTTCTGAGACACCCATGAGCTAACTTGGAGCTGGTGCTATAATAGGACCATGGCACCACCAATGTCCACCAGCCGGTGGCCTGGACACCGGAGCAGCAGTTTAAGCAGTGCCTCTCAAGAGAGGCCTGAATTGCAAACAAACAACCTGTTAAACTGATACACCAGAGCTAGACGACAAGGGTGTGCCCCACAGGACTCCTGTCCCCAGTGCTCTCAGGAGAACTTGCTGGTAGGGGATTGCCTGGTTCCCGCCTGTGTGTGGGGAGCAGCACAGAGCTCTCTGCAACTGAAAGGTCCCCCAGTACCTTTCCCTGTTGCTGGTCTATGTGGTCTTCCCACCCACGTGGTTTGTCTATCCTCACGGTTTGGGGTAGTCACAGCCAGGCATTGCTCTGGGCAGTGTGGACATGAGAGCTGAACAGATGCTGTGACACCCTAAGAGTGCTCCATCAGGATGTGACACACAGGTGGTGCGTGCGAGTAGTCAGTTCCCTTCTTACATATATAAGAGGAAACAAGACTTAATGTTGACCCTGCCCCAGCCCCATGCTGCAGGTGGCTCATCCCAATAAGGAAGCAGTAGAGGCAGCGGCTCCTGATGGAAATCAGGGTAACCTTTGGCAGGTTTTGGGACCAAGGGGTCATGTCCTTGTCCTCCTCCTCCTTCCAGCTCTCTTAAACTCCCACAGGGAGTTGGGTATGTGGTTTTGGGCTGCAAATGTTGCCTAAAGACTGGGGAAGGATCTGCTCAGTGACTTTGTGCCTTTTGTTTAAATTTCAGATTAGCCAAGTACTGGGAAATGAAATCAAATTTGCTGTTCGGGAACCACTGGGGCTCAGGTAAGATATTGGATCACTTTGAAGCTGGGTCATCTGAGGGCCCTTGGTCACAGCATCCCTGACAACTCTGGCTTCTGACACCAGCTCTGCTGCTATACCACCATCACTGTTCCCTGCAGGAGCTTCTGGGAGGCTGTAGGATCAGACCAGTTCTGCCTTCTTCCCCTATAAATCAGCCCAAGGCCTGCCAGTTCTTGTCTCACAGCACGTGCTGGGAACTATGTGGGGCTGGAGGAGTTCCTGGTCTCCTTTGTGACAGGTGCTGTGTCCTGTGGGGACCCTGCTCTGCACCATCCTCTTGGCAGGGCTACTTCCCTCCTTTGCTTGGGTGAGGGGGAGTTTGGCGCTGTCTCACTAGCAAATCTGGTGTGCATGCTGAGGCTGGAGCTAGTGGGATGTGGAAAGCTGAGTCCTTCCATGGGAGGCTTCAGGCTGCCTCAGTTGTGCAAGGAGGAAGGATGAAGGCTGATGAAGGGGCAGGAAGACAGAAATGCTTTGTGAAGTGTGAGTGATGGGGTCACCTCTGAGCTCACGCTGGGTTCTCTGTCTTCCCTCTCATACAGGGTCTGGCAGCTGGTTTCCGCCGTCATGTTTTCTGGGGTTGCCGTCATGGTGAGTGAGGGATGTGGTCCTGGGTACTGCCAGCTCCTGACTGCCAGGGTGCCCCAGCATGGCTCTTTGGCCCCTGGCATTTATCTTCTTCCTCTGCGTTTAGCAGCTACTGTTTTCCCCTGTGAGGCCTTTGCCCTCATTGTCTCAGTAATGGGCTTTGCCAGCAGTGTCCTTGGCGGTTTGTTCTCATCAACAGAGCTCATCAACAGAGTTTGTTTTCATAGTCAGGGTCATAAACCACACACGGCATGGCAGCCTAGGGCATGGAAACCATCCATGCAGCCCATAGCTGACACAATGATATTTCTTGCACCTCCTTAATTTCCAGTTGCCTGGCCAGTGGCTCCAATCCCAAGAAGGTGTCATGTTGGAGCACTGCTGCCTAAGAGGACACATTTTGGTGGCCCTGGTCCATGCAGGCTGCTGAGTCTCTCTCTTGCCTCTGCCAGGCCCTCGCTTTCCCGGACCAGCTCTTTAATGCCATCTTCGAGGAGGAATCGGTGAGCAGCAAGACTCCCATCCGGCTCTATGGAGGAGCCCTCCTCAGTGAGTGCCATGCCACTGTACTGGGTCATGTGGCTGCCGTAGAGTAAGGGGACAGGAGGCCAAAAGGGCAGGAGGGCACAAAGTCATCCCCAGCCAGCCCGCTGCAGCTAGAGAGCAGAATATCTGCTGTTAGCAAAGAAATTGTTGAGGTATTTTGAAAAGCTTGGCTACTGCTGCTTTTTCCCAGCATGGATTCAGGCTTGCTGCAGGTAGGATAAAAAGGTCTGTGCATTTTCTGAATACCTAGGGAAGCACCCTAAGTACACCAGCAAAAGGAGGCTGCAGCTGGGCCAGGCGAGGGACGCTGGGCTGGGGCAAAATGCACCCGTGGGAGCAGGAGGGGAGATGGGGCAGGTGGCAGAATCCAAGGAGGGAGCCAGGAGATAGCGGGCGAAGGACAGGAAGGTGAGGGGAGCTTGTAGAAATGGTTTGGGAAGGAAAACGGACCGTCGTCCTGCAGCGGCACCGCGCGGGGCTGCCGAGAAGCGCCGCGGTGGCGGGCGGGGTGTGTGCGCCGGGCAGTGGGAGGGCGGGCGCGGTGCCCCTTCGCGCTGCCGCCCCGGCCCTCGGGCAGCGCGCCACGCTATCCCTCGCAGGCATCGCGCTCATCCTGTGGAACGCCCTGTACACCGCCGAGAAGGCCATCATCCGCTGGAGCCTGCTGGCCGAGGCCTGCTACTTCGCCGTGCAGTTCCTGGGTGAGTGCCCGCGGGCTCTGGAGGAGAAGGATGCGAAGGCTGCGTGCCCGCCGGGCGGGGAGCGGGCTCAGCGGTGGGCAGGGCAGCGGCATGAGTGGCGTTAGAGCATCTTACCAGCCAGCCACTCTCCCTTTTCTAACGACGTGGAGTAGCCTCTGCTCTGGTCTGCTCACTGAAGGGTGAAACATTGCCCTCTGACAATTTATTTATTTTTCTCCCTGAAAAAGTCCCGGCCTTCACAGCCAGCACTCATCTTTGGTGGAGTGGGATGCCTACATGCAGGGTGTGACAAGAAAAGACTGTAGCAACCTACATAAAAAGGGGATGTTCAGTCTTACCAAAACAGAGAATAACAAGTTTAGCTTGTTTCTAGGGAGCTTACCTATATTTAACAAAGAAGGGGGTTCTTGTGTGTGTATTGGTAACTCATGAACTGTGATGCTGGTTTAGATATGGGCTGTGTTGGTAGCCAAAAAAGATACATGTTCAATGGATGCAGTGTGTGTGGACCATGCATGTTTTGTAGATGCTCCTAAAGTTGAGAAATGTTTATCAGCACTGAAGTGTTCAAGCAACAAAGCAAACTCGGGAAGATGCAGCTCCCACATTTAACACCCGAGCATGATGGAAACTCGCATCTGCTCAAGTGACCATTTCGGGCTGTGACTGCCTAAATTTGGGGCTGCCTTAATAGGAGAGTTTCTGTAAGTGAGAGCTCTGGGGTTTGTGACTGGCTGCAAGGCTCTAAAATCAAGCAAGTGAAGAGCCTCCACCATGGCTTCACTGTGCATGTGAGTGAGCCTGTGCTGAAAGCTCCTGCACTTGCAAGGCTCAGCAGCTTTTGCCAAGACACTGCGTTAGAGGGCAGCAGAAAACTATTTGTGCTATTTGTTCGGTTTGGGTTTTGCATCACCAACCTCTGCCTTGTCTCTTTCCTTCTCCTCCAGTTACCACGATCTCCCTGGCTGAGAGTAACCGGATAGCCACGGGTGTCGTGCTTCTACTGGTCAGCAGAGCCCTCTTCATCATCATCAGCATTTATTATTATTACCAAGTTGGACGTCGTCCCAAGAAAGTCTAATTCCTGGGCTTTTTTGTTATGGGAAGGGTGGGAGGGGGGAGTTTGTGTCGGTAATTTTGCATTATAATTATAACTTTTTTTTTTTTTTTAATTATTTTTAATTAGTCCCTTTTGGTTCTAAAGTAGTTTTCTTCTTTACCGGCATGAATCAGTGTGCAACCCGGTGCTGGTGGCATTGCCAGCTGAAATGGGGGGAGCAGCATTAGGCAGGACCCCCCAGCCTCTCTGCAGGAGGTGAGGAGCAGCAGGAGGAAGGCTCAGGGAAGTGTGTAGGTCTGGCAGGCTCAGGGAAAAAAGGCCAGTTTCCTGGGAGAAACTGGCCAGTGGGATCACAGGCTCTGAACCCAATGGAACAAAGCACAAAATAAGGCCAGCATATTGAAACCAAATCCCTGAGGAGACAGGGCAGTAAGACAACCAATGAAGGACTCAGCTACTCTATTTGGTAAGCCTTGCACCTGCCTGATGGAGTGTATGCCCACATGTACAGCCCGTTCCCCTTTTAGCCAAGTACTGACTGTCTAGCTAGGTGGGGGCTGGATGGGGTCAAGTTCAGTGCTTTGCAAACATCTCTTCTTTCCTTGCTGCTAGAGGTGATTTTTGAGTAGTTCATAGTTTTGCACCGGAAGCTGTGCAGAGCTTGTCAGGAGATACACCAAAAGAAGAGAGAGAACCCTTGTGTGTTCCCACTAAAGGGACAGTACTGGGAACAGTGGAGCAGCTTGAACCACAAGATGGGAGAAGTGAAGGAAGCTGTGGAAATACAGCCCATTGAGCACAAAGACATCCCCTTGTTTGTGTTTCATGAAGTTTGTAGGCTGGGGTCCCATCCCCTTCACCCTGAAACAGTTCCTACAGTTGCAGCTTTACTGATGGTAGTAGTAGAGGTGGGTGTGAGGTAGCATCTAATGTTTTAGTTAATCAGGGGCTGGAGTGCTGTTGAGGCTAGCGCTAGTAAGAGCAGAGCAAGCATCAGTACAGATGCTTGTGTCAGGGAGCAACCTCTAGAGATGGCTGTGGGAGATGATGTTCCAACTCTGCTAATATGCAGGTATCAGATCTCTTCTGACCTGGAGAAGAGAGGACCAAAGTTTGTAGCATTAAGGTATTTAACTGGGATGAAGAACAGCAAGGAGTGGAGCATATTAAGGCATCATTGCTTTTTCTGGTTCTGTCGAGGCCGAACTAAATGGGCTTTAGTACTCACCAGGCAGTTTCTTCAACACTTCCTGCGCTTTAACAGCATTGGCTGCCCTACTTCCTAGCGCTTTCCTTGTGGATTATCCTTGTCCAAATTAGAGGTGGCAATTTATGGGACTAAAGCCAGAAAGTCCATGTACAGGATATGGACTTCTTACTCATGCACTACTGTTGACTGGATCAGAGCATGCCCTGTAATAGAGCTGATGTTCCAGAATCCCAGTAGAAAGATGCCCATGCAAACAGAACTGCTTGTGTGAACAACAACCCTCAAGTCACTGGTGAAACTGGGATCTATGGCTATTGCTATTTAATATCTTAGTAGAGTTAGAAGAAGGTAGTGGGTAGTTATTGTATGTTGTGTTAGTGCTTTTGGCATTTAGAAGCAGCTGCATAAGCTTGGGACACTGTGTGCATTGTACTTACTGGCCATGCAAAATGTCTGTCAGGTAAGAACATTGGAAACACCACAACTATTACTTAGTTTCTTGCCTAAGAGGGAAATCAAGTGGAGAGGCAACATCTAACAACAGGCTGAATTCTGGAGCCTCCCAAGAACATACGCTTGTCAAGCTGCTTTCAGCATGTCCAAAAATTATACTGAGCAACTAGAACTTTTAATTAAGAGGAGTGTTCCTGTTCAGGTGGAAGAATTGGGCTCTCAGAGGGAAACCTTTTCCTTGTGAGGCAGGTAATAATCAAATGCAGGCTGGAAAGTATCAGAAATTAGACCAAGTGGTGCTGTGTGTGGGAGCTGGAGCATGGCAAGCTGTGGCTGTTGCTCTCACCCTGTATATCACCTGCATGGGCAGGTGCAATGGCCTCAGTGTGGCACTTCGGTTGTAGTTGTTGGTGTAGGTACGTGAAGCTTGATTCGTTGTGTTTTGGGGCATCACATGAATGTATACACTGATGGTTGGTTGGGGGGGGAGGGGAGAAGTTATGTTTCTGAGACAGACAGGCAAAACCACAGCAAAAGCAATCTCGCAGAAGAAGGAAATGGAGGATCTTCTTAATGCTGCCTCCTATCTATGTTGGACACAGGTCCTAAGAACTTAGTTATGACTCTGGTTTGATTAGTGTACCTTAAAATATCATCCCATAAGTGAGGCAAGTGAGTTAGTGCATTATGTGAGAGTAGTTCTCCAAAGACTTCTTGATGGTTAAATAAGGTGTGGGAGAGTGGGAGAAGCAGTTACAGCTTTCCAGAGTAGCTTTAAATTAGGTGAGATCAGATTCCTCTGGTCCCCTGCTTAATAGCTGCCTCTGCGAGACTTGAAATAGCCACCTCTAGGTTTGCCAGTTAATGGCTATTTCTGCTTGCTGGAGCAAAGACTGGGGGAGTTGCCACTTAGAAGATTTCGTACTACTTGGTACCTAGTCTTTAAAGTGGAGAGATGGAAGAAGTTGTTTTATTTTGATGCTTCTTGCTCCATCCTGCAATAAATAGACCATGTAGAAATTCTGGAAATGGACTGGGGCTCTACACCTTTCCTACAACTAAGTTGTGGTCCCTGGCATGTCCCTTCTCATCAGCAAGGTGTGGCAGGACAAACATGACCAGGCTCTTTGGAGGTGGTGAATGGGTAGCATTGGGAGGTCTAGGAGGGTGTTTCTCAGGGTGGCTTGAGGATGAAGCCCAGGCAGAGCATCTGCAGCACTGCCAGAAACCCATTGTACCTGGTTGTCTTCACTCAGTTGTGAATGAGGGAAAAGGAAGGAGAATGCTGAAAAAATTTGTACAGAACTGTGTCCCTAATGACAGAAGTGCTGGCATTACAGATGAATGTGGCAGTTGAGCACATAATTTGGGATCAAAAGCCTCAGGCATCACCTCAGGCTCTGCTACTGATCTGAGAAAAAAACCTGGCTCCACAAGCCTCCGTTTCCTTACATGTTATACTGTGAGAGAGGCTTTGGACTGGTGTTATTCCCAAGGGAGACTGCAGTGAAGTACCTGCACTTGTACAGTGCTGTGCAGGGCTGGGAGTCTGTTTCCCAGAGGGTTGTGCTCCAAGCAGGCACAGGCCAGGACTTAAGGCTGACCCCCTTTCTCTGCCAGGGATGAACCCAAACCCTTACATTCGCAGAACCCTCACTTTGGAGGGTAAAGAAAGCTCATCATTCACATAACTCCCTACATCACCTTATTTATGCCTAACCGGTATCTGGCAAACTGGAGCTGGTGACAAAGGAGAGGCTTTGCCTGTCCTAAGCTGGCCTCTCCTTCCTGATCAAGGGTTTTTACATGATGGGGGGGGAGGGGGGGATGGGGACAGAGGGGTGGTGCAGGGAAGAATGGGACACTTCAATTTATACCTCATTTTAGCTGCTGTACTTGAGTTTATTTCTCCTATGGTAAGAAAGTGACTGTACTGAACACCAAGCAAATAGTGAAAATTAAAGCTGTTTCACTTCACTGTCACAATATCTTTTATTTTGGTTCGGTTTTTTGGTTTTTTTTGTTTTGTTTTGTTTTTTTAAGAAATGCACACAAAAAACTGTGCACCGAGTGCTTCAGGCTTGTGTTCTGGTTTATATTACCAAAAAAAATTCCTTTCAATATAAAAAAGCATTACAGTAGGGAATACAGGATAAATTAGCTCCACTATCTAATAAAAAGTACATTTACAGTTTTTTAAAATAGAATTCAAACATTATTTCACACGCCAGCCCTTTTCCCAGGCATTCGTGACAGTCATTTGAGCATTAAATAACAGCCAGGAGGCAGGGATGCTGAGAGGGGCAGTGGGCTCACAAGCACAGGCTCCTCTCTACTGCTCCATCGAAGGTGCTTGGGCCAGGGTCACAGTGCTACAGCAATGGAGGCAGCAGCACAGCAGCTCTATCTGGTCTCCAGCCTGCCCAGAGCTCTCCAGCGAGCTGTGACTTTACCTTTACCCCCTGACCCCAAACTATTCACCAGAGCTGTTAAAAACAAATACAAAAATACAACTGCTTTTCCTGCCTGGAGTTCTGAAAACTACTGTACAACAGAGGGGGCAGCCACATAACCAAGGGACAAAACCAACGAATTTACATGCTTTGTCATACAGTGGGAGTCTGCGTTCTAGGGTTGCTAGTTCAGTAAATTCCCCTGAGGGAAATTCTTTATGTATGTTACCAACTACCACAGGTCCTGTCAGACTTGCACATATTGGTACAACCATCTCCAGTTCTTGTTTAGAATGCGCTGCCTGGCCTTTGCTGGGTTGTTGAGCTGTATTTCAAGTGGCATGTGAGCGAACCTACAGCGAGGATTTGAAGTCTTCACCCAGCAAAGAGCATTGAGGGATCAGACAAGGTAAGAGAGAAGAAACAGCTGTGCACAGCCCAGATTACCAGATGAAGAGGAGATCCTTTTGAAGATAGAGGGATTACGATTTGGGAGAGACGGAAAGTGAGAAAACTAAAAACAGACAAAGCACTGAGTACAGAACTAGGAAAGCCAAAGAGAACAAGCCAGTAGGGATCCTACTTCAGGTGTGTATATTCAGTACTTAGTGCTCTGGCTGCTTTGGTCTGGTTCCCCCATCTCTGACAGTTTTTCTTCCCTCCCATGCCACTGGAGGCAGAAAAAGGCTTAAAGGCTTTTTTTTTTTTTTTTTTTCCTTTCAACCACCCAGCTTGCACAAATGAGGATATTTGCCTTCCAGGCTCCGACCTGAGGACTCTTCATAATAAACCAAGAAAAAAACTGGAGACTGGGGGAGGCAGTTCTACTTCTCTCAATAACCTCCAGCCAAATTACTCTCTCTTCTGACAGTTTTGTTCTTTCCCTGGGATTTGCTCTCCCAGAACAGTAACTGATACCAACTCCTGAGGCAGAAGGAGAACAGATAAGCTCACCTTCTGTTCAGCCCATTTCCTATGAGACTAGTAGATGCAGCAGATATTTCCTATCTTAAGCGCAGCACCTGCTGTCCAGTACAAATCCTGCTGGGTTTTGGCTAACTAAACTGTTTTCCTTTATTAAACAACAGACCAAAATTTAATGCTAAAATGCCTCATTACAAAAAGGTCCAGAGGGAAATAGTTCAGAACAGCTTTTCACAAGGTTTAATGCAACATCTGGGGCTGCTCAGCAGCCCTGGCTGCGTGTTTCATTGCTGGAATATGCTGACTGCAGCAGTGGGGGGCTGCCGCTCTACCTGCCTAGCCCTATCCTGCTGATGAATAAATGATTGTTATCAAATGAAGCCTGGAAAAGCTTCTAATGCCTCCTTCCTTAGTATCTTGATTCCCCAACCTGGATATTTAGCCAGGATCTTTGTCAATTATGGCCCAGGGTTTCTACTGCTTTTCTTCCTTGAATGTAGTTTGTGCAGTGCCACAGGGAGAGCTCAAGGGACACAGCCCCAGGGGTGTAAGGGAACAGCCAGAGGATGTACCTCCTGCTGCTGCTCGGCTCCTTCCTTGCCAGAGGTTACAGCTTTCAGAAGAGTTGATTTGAGCCTATATAAAAGTGATCACATAATCTGAGCCTATAAAATCTGTAAAAAGACTTAAGCTAAATGAGAAACCACAGCCCTTTCTATCTTCCCCCAGGTAAAATGAATTTGGGGTCAGAGAGTGACCAGATGAACAATTAAGGCAACAGGGGCTGATGATTCCAGAGAAGAGAAACCAGCAACGTGACTGAGTCGATATCCGTGATTACTGGAGCAGCAGCTGGAGCAGTTTGGCTCTTAGAGGCTGCCTGGGGCCTCAGAAGCTCCAGCTTAGTCTCTGACTAAGGTCCAGTCCCAGGCATCTTTCTCAAGTTCACTTCCAAATGATTGAGTAGATGACATGTTAGTTAAATAACAAACTATCTCAAGGGAGGAAACACTCTTCAACTAAAACAATTCTGACTTGATGATTACTTTCATCATGAGCCCATGAGAGAATCTCAGGGGAAATTCTCTGAGCAGAAATGATGCCAACAGACTGTTCCAGGCAAATGGCATGGGAGTGGTTGACAAACCTAAGTCTCTTCCATCTAGCACCATGACTGGACTTCCCCTTAGGGCTGAAAAGGATGTAGAAACCACTGCAAATATTTACGCTAACAGAGCACCACAAACCATTTTTTTGCAAGTATCAAGGGAAAGGCAAAGGCTGACAAGATTTAAAGATTCTATCCTCCCCTTCTCAGGAAGGCAGCAGGTCAGTGATTCTTGATTGGACCATTATTTTTCCCAGGGGATGGGAATACAGCAGGGAACCATTTGGTCTCTTTCATAATAATGAACAATAAATCTTAGAAAGGTAGGCACCAAACTCTTGATCCTCAGCCAGCCTCAACTGAGTCCCATTGCCAAGCCCCTGCTTGGGACTCTGGAGAAAAGCAAGCCTCACTGAAGTGCTTGACTTCTCAGACAAGTTTCACATGACAAGGGCAAAGCTTCCACTGAAGAATCTGTGTTTTCATTCTGTGGCCGGAAATTAAAGCCAGAATTACGCAAACAATGACTACCTACTTAGATGAGCCACCACCGCTTGTTTCAAACCCACCTGGACAATCAAGGCCAACCTGTTGCCTTATCCAGTCCCTTGTGTGTCTATTCTTCAGTCCTTTGCTGTCTATAAAGCACAATGAAGTCGTGCATGGTAGGCTCAGCCTTGTGGAAGAGGCAGCTGTGCTCATCCTCCCACACCCCCTCCACTGGCTCCATCAGTCTCTAGTGCAATCGGCTGTGCTGGGCTCCTGCTCCACGGCTGCTGCGGGTGGCTCTGGGCAAGGGTCCGGTGTACAGTGTAGTGCACATCACCTCAAAGTTCCAGCCCCTGAAGTACAATCCTTTTGGTCATTCATATATTACAACCCTCTTTTTTTCTTTTTTTTTTTTTTTTTTTTTTTCCCCCCCCCCCCATCCCATTTTAAAAAAAAATAAAGTTTTTTGGGTATTTTCAGATTTTGTTTCTTCTGATTTTCCTTCTTTCTTCTGAGCATGTGGGGAACCTGGTGGTCCATGGGCCACTTCTTACTGGATCCCTCGAAAAAGACACATAGCAAAGATCATGGCGAACAGCTGGGAAGATGTGGGGGAAGAAGAGGGCAAAAACAAAACAGAGAACCATAAGAATCAGCTGCATCTTCCATAAGATCAGCAAAGGCCCCCCTGGCCCTGGTACCACCCCCATTGCTCCCTCCTGACCACAGCGATGCAGTGACAGGCACCCTTCTCACCACCCAGGGGAAGCTGTGGCAAAACTTTTTCTCCTAAAGGCATCCCTCCTTTCTTTTCCCTGCTCCCCACGCCTCCCCACGCCACACTGCCCCGCTACCCCCCACCCCATCCAAACTCTCAGTGGCTACAGCAGCAGCCTTGTTTCCTTCCCAAGCTGCCCTTGGTGTCACAGCAGAGCAGGCTCCACAATCCCTGCTCTGTACATCACTGCCAGTGCCTGGGATGGGCACAGCAGAGACTTTGCTGGGAGGCTGCTGGGGCTCCCTGCCCAGGTCCCTCTCCTTTGCACAAGACAGGGGACTGCAAAAGCACCCAGCCTTGCCCCTGCAATGCCACAGGGACATCACTTCTGGGCTAATACCAGGCTAATACTAAGCTAATATTAGCAACAGGGTAGTACTAAGCCTGTTGCTCAGAAATGTCACCAAAGCACCAGGTAGTAATGCAGGGCAGTGGAGGTGCTCTGTAGCCAGTACAGTTTCAAGCTCTAAATAGAAGCTTTTAAAGCAAAGGCAGAGTTTGAACATGTTAACCAAGTGACAGATCAGTCAGCTTTGGGGTGCTGCTACAATGAGGGCAGTGAGAGTGTAGGGCCCGGGGCAAGCATTGTGTTCCCAAAGCCCTTGTAGCCAGCATGGCAGGGCATAAGCTCTGTGGCTGGCCTAGCACAAGGTGGCACTGCAGGTCTGTGGCACCGGTTATTTCCTTGCCTTTTGGTGTCAAAAGGATCAAGCTCCTGTCCCTTTCCAGGCAATTAAAACCACAGATTGATGACCTTCTTGCACTTTGCCAGAGCACTTTCCCCTGGCAAGGGGGAGCACCTGCCTGTCTGCCTCACTGCTGGACATCTACTGACACTGCTTTCCTTATAGTCAGACAACAGAAAGTACCTCAATAGCCAACACTCCGATGGCAAGGGCTCCTGCGAGGTACACGTAGGTCTCAAAGGAGTTCAGGATCACAGTGTAGCAGCCCTATGAAAGACAAAACGTGGTGAGACACACCTGAGCAGTGCATTGCATTGTTCTCAAAACATAGCCCTCACTGAAACATGAGATGCTCTCAGACCCAGGCACCACAAGCATGGCTCCCTCTCACCACCTCACCCAGCTCCACAGCACAGGAGGCAGAGACTCACAGGACAGTGCTGGGGCGGGGCAGGTTTTGCTGTAGTGTGATGAGGGTGGTTTACACCCACAATCCCTCAATGAACAAGAGGAACTGTGAGTTCTTGCAGGGCAGCACAGGGAGGAACTTCATCTGCAAAGGACAGAGACTAACCACAGAGGGAAGGACACTCAGAGCAGGTGACAGACATCCCAGGCTGGCTAGAGAAAAGGACGACTTATTTAAAGCCAAGGCAGGAGATTCTTGAACCATCTCTCACAGCCAGCAGCTCTTTAGCAACCCAGGACCTCCAGGACCTTTCCTCTGTGTCTTCCCCCAAAAGACCATAGCTGAACACCTACTGATCTTCTGGCTATAGAAGAATATAATGAACAACTCAAGGCCATGCATTATGGCAATTCTTCCACTTATGAAGCATAGCCATCATCGTCTTTATTGTAATTTATTATTGTTCACACAATTAACAGCTGCTAGATCTTCCTGCAGAGGTTTCAGGATGTTTCTGGAAGTCATCAGTTTATCCTGGCCTCAGTTCTCCCAGCCTAAAATTCCAACCCCCTGGGAAATTTCTGCAAACAAGTCACACAAAAAGCAAAAAGTAGACTGGAGTTTGTCCAATGTGAAAAGTAGCTTCCGCTCCACTGGGAATATATTTCACACATACATTTTAATCCCATCTATATTGCTGGGAAGTTTCAGTCACCTGATTTTTTTCCTTCCATCTGTAATGAAAGTGTCTGAACTGCAAAGACAGCACAAAGTTACGTACTGGTATTCATGCCGGATCCTGCTCACTGTGAGTGAGGCTCAGTCAGCAGAGAACAAAGGAGAGCATGGAGAGAATCCACTCATGAGGCTGGTCCACAGGTCCCAGACTGCCAGGGCAGTAACTGAGCTGTTAAAGCCATGCTCTTGTCAACATGAGACCACTCAGCACCAGCTCTATTCCAGCCATGTTTCAGCCAAATGTTCAAGTAAAAGCATCCAGTCCAGCAACAGAATGTTTGTGTGCTTGCCAGAACTCCAACTTTAACCCAACCTCCAGCAGGCCCTGCTCAGTTGACTATAAACAGGGGGGAGCACAAGGGCAGAGAGCACTGTCCTACCAGCATGGTGTCCTAAGACCTTGACTTTGCTCCAGGAATGCCTCAATTCAGCCATCAGTTGCTCTGGAATTGCCTCTCCTATTTTACACAAGTGCACTACTGTGTGCTTGATGGCACTTGCTGTGCACACAGCATCTCCCACCAACATTCTGTGGTGGCATGGGCTCACCTCACAGGAAACCTTTCCTTTCCATGGGAGTGGTTAGCCTCAGCATCACCACTCAGGGAAAAGTCTAACCCTCTTTCTCAAAATATATTTCTCTTTCCTGCCCCACTATATGTCATCTCTCTCCTCCCCATCTATTCACAGCAGTCAGACCTGGCAGAAGTAGCACAGTGCTGTCTGCTATGATCTCTCACACAGAGTGCCTTTGCCAACCATCTCCAGTTGCTAGTCAAGGAAGAGTTCATACACTGCTTCCAAACTCCTTTACTCTCTTTCACAATCTGCTGTCGAGTGCTGAAAAGAGGACCACTGCTTAGTCTGGAGAGAGAAGGAGGCTTGTACGTAGGGTCAGTACAGAGCTCAGTTGGCTTATTATTGCTGAGGTAACACAGTTAGGAACGTTGCTAGAAAGTTTCTTAAGCATCGTGTCTTGGTGACTCCGTAAAAAAACATGACTGTAGAATCACTGTCAATGGGATGAACTGTCTTGTTCCAGTCCAGTACTGTGAAAAATTGCTAAGTCGAGAGGCCTGGCAAAAGAATCATTGAATAGAACCATAGATTGCTTTGGGTTGGAAAAGACCTTAAAAATCACCCTAAAAATCCAACCCATTTGCTACAGTCAGGGACACCTTCCACTAGACCAGGATGCTCAAAGCCCTATCCAACCTGGCCTTGAACACTTCCAGGGATGGGGTATCCACAGCTTCTTTGGACGACCTTTTTTCAGTGTCTCACCACTCTCACAGTTAACAATTTCTTCCTTAATATCTAATCTAAAACTCTCTTTCAGCTTGAGGCCATTGCCCCTTGTCCTACCACTACATGCCCAGTCTCTCTAGTTTTCTTGTAGGCTCCCTGTATGTACTGGAAGACTGCTATAAGAAATGCCTTTTTTTCTACTGTGAAGAGTAAAGCAGCAAAGAAATTAAGTTTTCCAACACTTGTCTTCCTTGGAAAACAGCCATGTTTTTCTGTGGCTGTTTAACTCTTGATGTCTTGATTGCATATGTTGATTAGGAGTCTTTGTGAACTAAATTGTAGCCACTACTGCAGCCAGTAAGAGTCTGGTCCAACCCATCCTCGCTGACCTGTGCTGGCTTGCTAATTAACTTTTCAGAGGTAGTTCTGACCTTCAGAAACACAATAAAACTTGATCTAAATTTCCACCTCACCTCAATCTCTTATGAAAATCTTCATATTAAGCACAACATGAACTTAGCAGTGTATGTAACGAAAGTGGATTTTCAAAATCAGACAAATGCCATCACTTCAAGATCTGTCAACAAAAGTGTAATTAGGATGTGAAGTACAGTCAGGATGTGTCAGATTCATTAGCTACCCATGACCACTGCAGCCATCTCTCTGCCCACTGTGAAAGTCCTTCTCCTTGTGTTCGGCTTCCCTTACCTGTCGGTTCTGAAACCTCTCGATGCCTGCGAGGCAAGCTTCCTTGTTGACAAACATCCCTTCCCGGCTCTGGAGCTCTCGCTGACAACAAGCCTCTGGTATCATCTTTTCCACAGAGGAGTGTGGAAGATGAGGGATAGCTTCAAAATCTTCTGGTCCGTTCACTCCACAGCAGGCAAACTAGGGAGAGGCACAGAGAAGAAAGGAAGACAGAATTGATGCTTAGCCCTGCAAGCAGATACAAGAAATCTACCAAAGACCTATTCTTGTAGGGGTCAAAGCTTTAGTCAGAGACAAAACAACTGTTGTTTCCAAAGAAGTGGGTTGTGCTTCTACCTTGGAGCTTCTGCTTCATCTAAGCCTTTTTATAAAAAGTCCCACTGTTTCCATGTCATACTGTAGATTCTAAGGTACTTCTGGGAGCATTGCCACAAACTACACAGGGCTTTGGAGCATATCCAGAATGACTTGCTTGAGATCACCCAGCAAGTCTGTACAGGAGCCAGCAGTACAATCCAGGCTCCCGACTACCCGTTCTCTCCATAGCTAATGGCCAGGATTGTTGCTGCTCAAAGGCACTGCTAGGTGATTCAAGTAAGGTCTCACTTTAGGATTCCAGTCAGGTCCTTCTTAAGGATTCAAGTCAGACTCTGACTCTGTCTCCTTTCAGTCAGCAAAAGGAAATGTCTTTATTGTAGTCCTGAATCAGCATGAAGGGCAGCAATCATCTTTTCCTTTTAAGATTAAAATTGACTTTTCCTCCACAGAGTCTGACATCCCGCTTTTCAATCCTGAAGAGATAACACCATGGGGTGTACTGAGCACTAAGTTCACATGTGTACACACACACACACACACACAGAACTTCTTGTGGTAGGTAATAACAACTGCAATTCCACTGACAGTCAACCCGTAACCTGCACAATTAGGAGCGTAATAACAAAGTCAATTCTAATGGCTAATATTTTTATAGTGAAAATATGTCATTAGGCACACTCCTGCCTAAGCTGCCACCTACCAACTCATTTCACAAGAGCTAACAAAAGAGCATTAGTTAGTACAAGTTTTTGGCTGCTGTTGGCTGGAATAGTTCTGAAGTAGTCTGCGAGGTGAAAAGCCCGGGATAAATGCAGTGACATTCAGTCACAGACACCTCCACTGCTTTCTGTGCCCACCATTTGAAAGCTGGGGGTACCCAGTCAGATCAAATGGCTTGGGCTTTGGCAAAACACAAGGGCTGATGCAATCAATGCGAGTGCCTCTCTCTCTAGGGACTGGTGGCAGCTCCATTTGAGAAAGACTTGCTGCAAATTCTCACCTCCCTTCAACCACTGCCACAAGCCGTGGTGCTGGGCTTGATGCAGCAGGAAGGTGGAAGCAGGTTGACCCTGGGTGAGCTGAGGGTGCGGGCTGAGCACCGTGCTGGTGGCCACTGACCATGGGCAGCATGAAACTAGCATGGTCTGACTTACTGTGATCATAACAGAGTTCCAGGTGGAAGAGAAGACATCTGTGTCATTGTTCCTCTGGTAATGTTTCTTCAGCTCCTTGGTGAAAAACTCTCTGGTCAGCTGAAATGCACAGACAGATGGAAATGTAAAGGCTACTGCCAACACCTTTCCCAAACACTTCCCAAAGCTCCCTTCTGTGAATGCAGGGGATTCTTTGGTTGTTTTGGGTTTGTTCTTTGTTTTGCTAACCTCAGAGGAGAAACATGGGAAAAGCCACTGGCTGAACCATATACAGGGTGAAGGGTACCTGTTGAATAAAACTATTGCTCACTAAAATCAGGGATTGAATTATATCTGTACTTCTAAGATAATGTGAACACTTAAAGCTTGGTTGGTTTGGTTTTGGGTTTTTATTTGGTTGGTTGTTTGTTTGGTTGGTTAGTGTTTTTTTGTGTTTTGTTTTGTTTTGTTTTTTTTTTTTTTTTTTATTTTCTGCCTTATTTGAAAGTATTTCATAAATAGAAACAGGCCTAAACCAGATTTTAGAATGATCTTCAAATCCACACTGAAATAGTAGTTTCACTTACGGTGCTTCATGAGGTCTGTAACCAAAGGATAATTTTCCCCCCACTTTTTGTTCAAACCAGTTAACTTGCCTCTAACAACAGGGGAGGTGCTCTGAATATACTTTAATGTGTGAGAGAGGAGAATGAAGCCCTAATATGAAACTTTCTGGGAATGAAAAGGAAGTAAAAAATATATAAAAAATAAGAAAAGTTAAAGTCAGCTTTCAAATCAGAAAAAAAAAAAATTTCCCTGACAATGCTAGAGATTACCTAAACTAACCCACACACATGAAGAAAAAACCCCTCTTTATATTTCCAGGGTTTAGATAATTTGAACATTTTTCCTAAGGCCGGCAATATAAAGTGGAATAAAATTCATTTACTCCTGTTTACATTTACAGTAAAATAGAAAAAATGCACAAACAACTTGGCTCAGAGTCTTCTTGAGAAGTTAGACACCTTGAAATTACATTTACTTAGGATCACTCTCTGGAGCAATAATAAATATAAAATCCTAATAGTCTCGTCAAATTGAACACCCCAGTTCAATCTTGTTGCCTTTCTGTCAGTTTAGGATGAAAACTTCAAGAAATCCCCTTTTTAGGTACCCAATAGGTCTCGTCTTGTGTGGTCCCTTCTCCAAAATACCTTGTGATTTGTGATTCACACAGGCAAATCTTCTGCCATTTGCAAAGCTGCAGTGAAGGGGGCTGAACTTGGCTGGCTACAGCACTGCTCTAATGTTGCATATTTGCAGGATCAGGAATTAAGCTGCCTGGAAAATACCCTTTTTACTCCCCTCTGTTGTTCATACAGTGCTGCTGACGCAGTAACATATACTGCTACAAGCTGCTTTCAGGTTCTTGGTATGCAACGTGAAATATCACACATACACATACATATGTATGAAGTCTATGGGTGGGCACAAAAGCACAAGCACAAAATTGTTTGTTTCTGTTGCAACCAACAAAATCTAAGGAAAAAAGAGAAGGCTGTGGTGACTTTTTAAAAGACCCTGAATACCACTTAATATTAACTTCTCTTTTACAAATACAAATGAAGGCCAAATTTATTGACTATGTCAATACTGGGTAAAACTTTGTCATAAATACTTGAATCATGCAGGTAGCTCAATCTCACCACCTTTTAATTAGATATGCTGCTAAATTCCTAAATTACTTTTTTTGGGACAGATATTAACTCATCTTTTTGCATTTGAATATTAAAATACCGGAGAGCACAGCATTTTTCCTTTGGGAATTTGGTGCACTGAGGGAAGGTCAGGTTAGAAGATGCTGAAATATATCCTTAGTATTCTCCTTTCCTTCCCTTTCACTGTGTACTTTATTCACACAGCATCCAACCCTACAGAGAGAAGCACATTTTTTTTGATCCTTGTCTGTTCCTGAAGCACAGACTTTGAAACTGATATTACCATTGGTAATAATCCCAGTTGGCTGCCTTTGTCGGCATCTAAAACAAAAGAGTAATTTAAATATAAAGTGAAACTTTTATTTTGACAGCAGCAATCCCAGAGGAAATTGTTCAGAGCTTGTGTGTGATTTTTACGACACTTGGCCTAAAACAAAGCCGAGTGCTGGAAGGGTAAGTTTACCAGGAAAATAACTGATTCCATTTTGTTGCTCTTAAACTACTTGTTCCAAATATCTGAAGTTCAGAAAAATGCGACCAAAAAAAAAAAAAAAAAAAAAGGATAATAAGACAGTTCTACAGCCATGTCCATGGCACTCCTCTCACTGAAACTCATACCGGCCCTGAGGAAATCTATGCACATTGGAGTGCTATGGCAAGAACCATTCAGAAGGGAGCAAAGGACCTACTAATAAAACTAGATCTTTGCACATACTTGAGACAACACAGTTGTACCAGCCACAGCCTTGAATAAAAAGGAGCTGTTCAGCTGTGGTTTTGCTCACTGTTCTAGGGGTGACGTCTCCAGTACAACACATCCGTGCATACATTTACATGCCAGTGAATTAAGTGTGGCTGTTTTGTCACACTGGTTCAAAAAATGGCTTGGCTGGGATTAGTGCAGCTGGATGAAGGGGGCTTAGAAAAAGGAAGGCATTTCTGCACAACGCAGGCATGCATGAATGCTGGCACTGCACAAGAAGGGTACAACCTTCTCATGCAATGCTCTGTTCAAGAATACTGAATGCTGTGCAAAAAGCTGCCTTCACAGTGCCTGCCTGGAAAACGGGACACACTCCTATCCATCTGCATTGGCCTGGAGCACCCTGATGTTTGTGACACAGCACAGTGCTTGTAGGCACAGTCAGCAGTGCTGCACTTCTCGCTTATGCAGTGCCTTCCATTGGACAGACCTCCATCCACTCAACTGAGGAAGATTCATGTTCTTTAGCTTTTGCCTTTTGTCTGAGGAAATAGAGGTATCAGGAACCAAAGTGACTTGCTTATTAAATGTTAGAACTGCAGTAAAAAATCCAAACTTCCTGACTCCATCCAAAGCCCTGCCTCTGAACTCTTCTGCTCCTACCATCCCACTTTCTTGCTTTCTAAAAAGAGTAAAATATCCCTCTGGGTTTTTTCCCATCCAGACCTCTGAAGGGCATAGAAAGAGCAATTCCTATACATAAGTCAATTTGATCTTTCATAGCATCTCTCTAGTGTTCATGTAAGTCATTATTTTAGGGGGAACTTCTAGATTAAAAAGGGTTCTCCACCCCCCAAAACGTCCTTTTCAAAGGAAGAGAAAGTCTGGAAATCCCATAGTTGATTAACAGTAGCCTTCCTCTTCAGAGAAAGTTTTTAAACAGTTCTTTGGAAGTGCAGCAGGACTTGCAGATCACAGTAGCTCACCGTCGCAAACACCACTTTCACTCCAGCACAACACTCTGCTTCACTGGCTCTTCCCCTACTGTCAAATCTCAGCAGAAAACATCTCTTTTTTTCCTATATTTTTGTCTCTTAATTTCTTTCACTCCCTCAGCTATTAATAATTTAACCCTGTTGAGTGTTTGAGAGCTGGTTTGGATGTAAAACGCTATATAGGAGAAAGCTGCACCGAACATTATCTGGCAAAGCAAACAGATAAAGTGTATCTTTTGTCTCATTCTACACACCCAGTGAGACCGCAGCCATATGGACTGGTGCAATGATCATCCCAGAATACTTCTTGGTAAGTTTCTGAGAAATTTAGGTTGCCTAAATGTGCATTTACCGCCACATGCCTTGAAATAATTTGTTTTTGCAAGTAAGAGAAACACACATCTGAACTTTAACTTAAATTGTACTGTGAAGAATTCTTCCTGACGCAGGATCACTGGAAGACCAGCTTTGCCCCCTTGGAAATCCTGCCCAGCCATCTAGCCTCACCCTAACCCCAAGGTGACAGCAAAATTGGCTACAAGTAGATACAAAGCCAGAGGAGCTACCACCAAAATATATAGCAACACCAAAACAAGGGGTATTTTTTTTTCAGAAGAAACCTGAGGAAGGAACAAAACACAAGAATTTTCAGACCAAGTTTAACTTCTGCACAGAGCCATCTCCAGCTATGTGGGGATCTGACGTTCCTCATTCCTTCCCATTTAAGCCCTTCCTGTCAGTCATTCTGACAGAGTGGGAAGGTGATGATACAAACAAGGAGACAAACTTAAGAAAGATAGAAGTTTGTTCCCCTTCAAGTTGTATCTCACAAAACACTGTCAGATGCCGCAGAAGTCTAGAATAACCACTGTGACCTTATCTTGCAAGATAACATGTCCTTACATCTTCCGTGGCTCCCAGGGGAGTGGAAAGTACTGGTACTTTGCCCAGAAGCAGGTTGTAAGCAGAGAGAACACAGCCACCCTGCACTCAGGACTTGCAGCATGCCTGGGCAGTTTCTCGTACCTTTTACCAGTTTCTGAGAGAGAAGATGAGAGATGGGAGCCGTCAGTTGTCAGTCAATCCCTGATCCCCGGGGAGCGTGTTCTCTCTGTCATGAAGCCTATACCTGAGTCTGTGGGGCATTTCTATGTGTGTGGTCAGCTACTTGTACCGAACCAAAGGAATTGTCTAAGTTGTCTAAAACAACAGAGCTGTAATGGCCAGAACACTCCAGACCCCCCATTCTGCAAGCTATTTATATATATATATATATATATATATATATATATATATATATATATATATATATATATATATATATTTATAGCTGTTCCCATGAGGGCATGGTCTCAAAATCTAAACTGGAATGGGGCACCCACTCTTTGTGCAGAGTGCCATCCCTTCCCCACTGCCTTCAGATCTGAGGCATAGACAAAAATACCCCAGCTTATAAAGGGAAAAAAAATCTTCTCACTACCTCCCCCCAAGTCCATCCTACAAACACCACAATGTCTTGCTGTGAGCTTCCTAAGGCTTGATTCTTTTGTATCAAAAGCTTTTTATATGAATACAATTAAAAAGATATCCTGATTCAAGAAAAGCATCATTATACATGGCCCTTCTATGCTCATACAGTATTTCTCTCACGTTCAGTAGAGGAAATGTGCTATATATTCTCATACTACCAGTGGAGGCCAGATAAACAAAATAAATACTAACAGTCACCAGTGACCAACTCTAGTGATCAATCTACTTTCACACCCATCACTCAGAGAAGGATGGACCTACTTCAGTCAGGCTCTTCTTTGACATATGGGAACATACAAATACACAAACTTCTGTTGTTTAGAGAAAGAAATGAGTCTGTGGTTTCTAGTAGTGTACTAAAAGTCTACTACTAGCACAGGGGAGGGATGATGGCCATTTAATAATATGCACAGCAGCAGAGTAGAGAAAGGCTACATCACATGAAGCTTTGGAAAGAAGGACTAAACTCTGAGCAGGGCAATATGCAAGGGAACCATTGATGGGACTGAAAACTGGACATGGGGAGACTTGCTTAGGGCAGGTCAGGAGGGATATCTGACAAGCAGCATTGATAGAAGTCTGGTAAACACTACAATATGGAAATTCAAGGAGGAGTATGATCAGAAGATTCAGAGGAGAGCTTTTGCACTGCACAGCAAGCATTGGTTTTCCTAGTAAAACAGGAGTTTTCACTATTAATAATAAACACATGCTATATTAAAAAAATAGTTGCTTTTAGGTTAGTGTGACTTTATTATAAAGCTTTATAAAGTGTGACTTTATTTATAAAGGGAGCTGGGGTTGTTTAGCTTGAAAAAGAGGAGGCTCAGGGGAGACCTCGTCACTCTCTACAACTACCTGGAAGGAGGTTGTAGCCAGGTGGGAGTCAGTCTCTTCTCCCAGGCAAACAGCAGTAGGACAAGAGGGCACGGGCTTAAGCTCTGCCAGGGGAGATTTAGGTTGGATGTTAGGAAGAAATTCTTTACAGAGAGAGTGATCAGGCATTGGAATGGGCTGCTCAGGCAAGTGATGGATTCTCTGTCCCTGGAGGTTTTTAAGATGAGACTGGATGTGGCACTGAGTGCCATGATCTAGTAACCACAGCAGTAGTAGACCAAGGGTTGGACTTGATGATCTCAGAGGTCTTTTCCAACCTGGTTGATTCTATGAACCTATGATTCTTTGTGATGGAATGTTCAACTGTTTGGCTGCAAGAGGGTCAGGACGACTCTAAAAGACTCAAAAAACTTGAGGAATAAGTAGCCCCCTTGTATACTAAAACTATTCACCCTGCACAGACCAGGTTAGTTAGCATTCCCTGGCTTACTGGCAGTTCTGCAGACTGATGGTAGTAATGAAGCAGGTTTGTTGGTATTTGAAACAATCAGTTGCTCTACAAACAAATCAACCACCATCCAACACCATGCTCCAGCTGTGTACAATCCCACTGGAGTTCAGTTTGCCCACCACTGGATACTTACATTTTCTCTGAAGATAAAAGCCAGGATTGCAGCTGAAAGCTCTGCCAGGAAGATTAACAAAATAAACATGAAGAACTGGAAAAGAGAAGATAAACAAAAGAACACAGGCAGCATTAAATTTGAGCAATAGGTAGTAGGAATACAGGGGGTTGCTAATCACCAAAGGGATGGAAAAAATAACTGAGGAAATTTTTTTTTCCCTGACAATTAAAAAACCCCCTGAGACAGTCACATGGAGCACACACAGTCCCTCTCTGATCTCATCACAGGACATGGGAGTTTGTGATGCTTTTGCCTGCTTCTAATGAGTACAGCCAAATGAGGCTACAGAACCTGTAGCATCCCCTGATAAATCTGCACCAGATTAAAACAGTAACACCTGTTTCAATGGAAGAAGTAGCATCCCCTGATAAATCTGCACCAGATTAAAACAGTAACACCTGTTTCAATGGAAGAAGTTCTATAATTGTTATGCTCATATAGGTTGAAACTTTCCTGACACAAGGGCATGCATCACATACATATGCAGACACACCCTTCATCACAATATAAACAACAGAATTTTACTGTGATATGATAACAGCTTATTTTGTATGGAGGGAGGCAGTGGGATATATACTCAAATATTTAAACCTGTGACCAAAAATGGACTCTTTTTTAGAGTATTCTGCATTTCAGGACAAAATTAGCCTTGATTAATATCTTCCTTCACACAGTGGGATTGCACTGAGTTAAGTAATAACCACACAGAACCTCTACAGAAAGCTGATAACACATCATAAGAATAAAATTTGATAATGGAAGAATCACCCATGTTTTGTATAGTATCCAAAATGTGCATATTCATATCCTTAAATTAAGGGCACACTGCTGGCTTGACAGAAAGCATAGCTAGAATATTAGGGGTTTGTAAGAGAGAAAAAAGCATTCAGTTTGAAGTAAAACCATTACACTTATCATAATTTTAGAAAAAAGAAAGGAAAGCAAAACAGAGAGGCATGTGACTGTTCACCTTAAACTGTATTTTATCCTGTTGCCCTTGCAGCCTTCTGCTGCCTCAGTCTAAAAGGTCTGGTTTTCAGTCTTACAGGCACCTTGTTTCGGTGATTCACTGTGCCTGCACCACCCACCCCACAGAATTAAATACGATGCACTTAAGAGGTCTCATTCCCAGAGAGACTGACATCTTGCTGTGAGGGTGCTGTTCCCTTGTCTACCCAGAGCACTCAGGTGCTGTGGAGTGTTTCCTGGCCGGGATGAGTGCTGAGACTCCTGCAGGCTCCCACTTCAGATCCTTCTGCCTGGTGGCACACAGCTAGAGGTAAAACTCAAGAAAGGGAAAAGAATGTTGAAGGGAACAAATCTGCCAGAGCAGGAAAGCCCTCAGTAACATCAAAGAGCTCAGGACTCTGCCTGTCTTTGGGACCAATTCTCAGTTACACTGATGTCTCATGCTAGTTTGATGCTGCTTCAGAACATATGAAACAGTAAAAGGAACAGGCAGGGATGTGTCCTCTAACATTCTAAAACAACAAATGTTGGTGCTGAGGAACAGCTATGGGAGCAGAGCAGAAAGTGGCTAGGGCTCACGTTCTCTTCCAAAATGGCATTTATTTCCATTCTTGTGGACAAAATAGAGGGCTTTAGGAACAATAAGTCTGAACTAGATGGACATTTTTAATGGTTTTATAGCCAGAAAGAGAAATAACCATTTGACAGTCAGCCTGTCTAAAATTAGCACACAGACTCAAAGATGATTTTATAAAGCTGAGTGAATGTTGAGAAATTAATTCAGATTTTGGCACTTTGTGAGAAAAACAGAAGTGAACAGAAAACCCTGTAAGACCATATCATATGGAGGGTAATAAATGTGTTACATGTTACCAACGAAGGCAGATGAAGCAATAAGTAAAAATAGAAAGAGAAGTCTGGATGGTTGTAGAAGGTCTTTCTGAAACAGCAGGCAGAGAGGGCCACAAGTGCCATTGTGATCTCTGAGCAATGATCTATAAACAGTGTCTGAAAGGCTGTGAATTGTGCACTTCGGTGATGGAGAGAGAATTCAAACTGCCTGCTTGGAATGGGCAAAATGTTGTTTTGTTGTCAATTATCAGGGCTGTAAATGATTTTTCCCCACTGGAAAAGTTCACACACCACCCTGTCCTGTTTGTCTTCCTGCTTCACAGTGGAAACAAAAGAAAAGGAGACTGGGCTCAAAGGACAAAATAAGAAAATCAGATGAGCAAGGACTTTGGTTTCCAACAAAATTATGTTGCTTGATTTTGCTGAACTAGTTAACTCTCTAATTTATTCTTACTGCTGGAGTTTTCTGTGTGGCTTCTTTTTTTCCTGCTTAGAGACTGTTTTAATTTCACCACAGGAGGGCAAAGAACAACTGATGAGAATGAACGATGCTTTGCAAATTCACTTCATCATCCATCAAGGGATCTCAGCATAGTCACTAAGGTCTAAGGTGGTGATCAAGTGATTAATCCCATCACCCTGCTAATTGCATTTCATTTACTGATTACTGGGAGACACATGTTCACCCAAGCTCCAGCACAGGCTTGTGCAGAAGTAGTCATTCCCAGATTATCTGTGATAAGCGTCATTATCGTTCCCAAACTGATTTACACTTACATTGTGCACTCTGCATTACAGATTTATAACAGTTACTGTAAAAAAAACCACAAGCAGCCATTAGGGCTGATGAGAAAAGGAAGATGGATCATCAGTGTTTCAGAACTTGCTCCCATTCTGAATTTTAAGGAGAGTCAAAACCTGCTTACTATGTTTTCCTTCCAAAAATTAAATTGATTACTGATATGTGAAAGTGCAAACCAGCCAGCTGGTTAATGCATCAGACACAGTAGCCTCACATTCAAATTTAAGCTTGAGACACAAAATTTGAACACAGGTAGCCCTCACATCCAAGGTGAACATCCTGAGAAGCGAAGTCTCTCATATTGGTCAAAAATCTTGCCTCAGCTCCTGGTGATGGTTACAGGTTTATCAGAACTTTCCACAAATCAATGTCTCATGTTTATTTTTCACAACTCATCTACCATTCCAGTTTCAAAACTGCTGTTCTAAAAAGAACCTGCATTTTCATGTTGAGGAGTTTCAAGGGCTACTACATCCATTTTAGAGAAGGGCAGAACAGGCTATCTGCACTCAAAACTAAGCCAAATGAAGCTGACACGGACTGCTCTTGTTCCAGATGAATTCAGTGCCACGATGCAATGTTGTATGATCAACAGTATTTTGGATTCTGATTTTTATGGTAGTGTTTTGCAATCAGAGGGTCTTCAGGACAATCTAGAAGTTATTCAATGTCTGATCTACAGGCCAATTTTGTGAGCCAAGTCCAGGTGCTGGGAAATCTAGAAATACTTCACAGCCTTGTGCTTAATGTGAGATGCTAGGTTCCACGGTGATGGGGGTTTTTTTTAACCAAAAGACAAGCAGCTTAATGAAAAATAGAAGTCCTTGGAAAGACAGAAGCCAGAACCTAGAGACCATGCTTTTGTGCATCTGTCTTGTCCCTTCTATCTTCTGTTTACATTTGGATTAAAAGCTTTAGACATACATTATGCATCACTGTGAATCTCACTCAAGCAGCTCTCTGGCTCATCAATTCTTCAACAACTTTGTAAGTGGACTTGATTTGATCTACCAACTTTTCCCCAAGTACTACCCCCACCAAAGACTTACACTCTCTGTTTTGCAAGTGTTCCCAGTCTCTCTGGAGTACAGTCATGAACATTTTGCCTCCTCAATGCCTAAAACTTACTCCTATCAGACTTTTGGTTTCACAGATGTTTTAATGTAAGTTGATTTTAACATCAGCTGGTGTGGCCCCAAAAAAGAAGTTGGCAATATATTTCTTCTCCCTTCTTCTCCCAGGTCCTCATCCAAGTGGTTCACACTGCTGAACATGAGACAGCAGGTTGTTTAACAGAGTTGGCTTTGATATCAGAAGCCCTCGAAGACCTGATCAAAGCGGAACAATAATTCCTCATCCAGTAACTTAGAGTTTCTCCTAGTCTAGAGTATTACTTCCAGCCTGTATTTTTCTCACATTTCATTCAAAATCAAATAATCATAAAGGTAAATAAATAAAGCAGCAGGGCTCAGAACTATCTCTAAGAGTCAGAAAAATAATAAACACAAAGTCAAGTGCATTGGAGTATAACTAGAACACATGGAGGAGTATTCAAACCTGTAACTGATATTAAATCAGGAAAGAGCATGGCCCAGAGCTACCTTCCTCCAGCCAGGTTACCCATCTGTATGCAGCAGACATGGTCCAAACTGAAAATATTACTCTCCCATTCACTTACAATCAACAATTTTCATCAGACATAACTTTTAGTTTCTTAATCTGACAGGGACAGGCTTTGAAGTAAACTCAGGCTCATTGGGCCTGATCCTTTGCATTTTATAAGGTTCCTCTGGGCAGATCTTCACAGACTTTGCAAGGATACATCTGGCTTTCTGATTTTCTTCTGAGATGACCCACTAGAAATCAAACCCACAATGGCTTCCAGGAAAGGGATCTCATTTGCGGGCTATGATCCCAAGGCATGTGTGAGCCAAGGGCTAGAGAGAATTTATCTCACTGCAGCCGCACTCATCTCTAGGAAAGATGGGTTTGCATTCCAGAAAAAGGACTTTTCCATTCTATTTAAAGCTAGAGACAAGCCTTTTTTACACCATGAAGCAGCTGTGCAGGACACAATCACAACAAAATACAAGAAGTAAGATCAAGATACTAAAAAAACAAACAAACAAAAAACGTAACAATCCCAAAGTGCCAACAGACACAGCAGGAGGGAAAAAGGTCACATTAGAGGAAAAAAAAAAGAAAACAAGAAAACAAGAAAACTAATTATCTTTCAATACATAACTGATAATGCATTCCAGTAGAAGATAATGGCTGGAAACCCTACAGTATCAGAACTTATGAGGAAGGAGGCAGGGGCAGAAGTGACTTATTTTAGATCTTTGTAATTTTTGATGACCGCATGGGCTGAGGTTTAACCCCGCCATTCAGGAGAATGTGCCCAACAATGACAAATCTCACTGATTTTAGGAGCAGAGTAGGCTGTGTAAGGGAGTGACCAGCTGTTGAGAGCGGCAATGACAGGCCACCATGCAGCTCCGAGCTGGGCATTTCTGCTGACAGGGGGGGAGCTCCCTTACCCAGGTGCTGTGCTCCATATGTTCCCTCTGCTTTGTTGTGAAGTCCGACCAATTAAATGGGGGCATTTTGAAAGAAAGCTTAAAAAGGACAAAATACGCTCAGAGACTGGGCTCAAATCTATATACAGAAAAAGCAAATTTTCTGCATTTCTATCTGTGTGTAAAAGTATTCTAAGCCTGTTTGTTGTCTAAAGGAATAATAGCTCCAATACTAGACACCCATTAATGAACTTATCACAGCATCATCTGTCCAATCACTTCCACTCTTGGGAAGCACCAAGAGGCCAACAGAAAATGCAAGGACACTTACAAAAAGCAGGAGGCATTTGTTCTCACGGATGGCACCACAGCAGCCGAGGAAACCCAGCAGAAAGAGCATTGCTCCCATAGCCAACATGATGTATGCTCCTGTGAAGAGCAGAGGGTTGGCAGCCACTATCTCTCGAAAACCTGTGGGATCCACAATGACCCAGATTCCAAGTCCCAGCAGGCATGCTCCTCCCAGCTGTCACAGCACAAGGAATGGAGAGAGAGAGGAAGACAGGTCAACATAAAACAACTGCTGAAGAAAAACTGGATTCATTACTATCTTTTGATCAAACATATTAATTTGGAGAATTTGTGTTTCTCCATTGCATATATTCTCCACTGTACAGTTGACTTCTGACCTGCTATTATCTCTTGCTCACTAAATGAATTATTTGCAGCAAAAGTGCCTTTCTTCCTAGACACATCACTCTACCAACTGTTTCCTCCCTTCCTAATGCTGATAGACAGAGTGTCAATCTGCTGCCACATCAGTGGAGGACAGCCCAGTGAAGGGGCACTCATGAATCATCCCTGCCACAGAGGCCAGGGCGCTGGCTACTCTTCCTTTAAAAAAACAAGAACAATCAGGAACGACTGTTTCTGACTGAAAACCTCAGCAGGGCACCCAGGACTAGAAAACAATTTCTTATGCCATTCAAGGACTAACCACATACACCCCTAGTTACAGCTTTCCATGTGGTCTCCCTTGTCAAGGACAGCAATAACGCAGAAAACAGTGACCACTGCACTGCCCTGCTGAATGTCTGAGCATGTTTGGATGCTGCAAAATGCTCAGTGATTGTTAGTGCAAAGCAGAGGGGATATTCTGTATCATGGCAACTTTATCAGAATTACAGCCTATCCTGCTGGGAGGCAGCAGGCTGCTGGAAACAGAAGGATTTGGGAAAGAAAGTGAATTCTAAATACTTACAAATATAAAGAAATTGAAAAGAAACATCAGGTACTTCATGCAGCTCAGACAGTCTCCCTCCATGGTCTTCAGGATCCTTGGTCCAACTCCTCCTGCAAAACAACACTTTCCTAGCACACTCATTTTTATTTGGAATGACACAATCCTATTTCCATTTGTATTTCCCCCAAGATCCTGTGGAGTTCATTATACAGAACAGCTCTTTTCTTACCTGAACAAGGCAACATAGGCACAGGCTAGTAAGAGATAATGATCACTGCTAAGTCTCTTTGCATTCTTTAAGGTCTGTTGAACACAGATGTGAAGAGGAAGGTTGCAGGAGAGGAAAGGTCTAGTTTTACTTGCAGAGTGAGATACTGGGGGAAGAAGATTTTTACCGCCCTTCTTAAACCTTGTCAAGCTGAAGAAGCACTGAATGTACCTGCCTGTTTCAAACCAAAGAAGGTCATATTGACACAGGAGCCAGAACAAGCTTGAGCCCAGTTAAAAGATGCTCAACAAACATTTGGGACAGTTAGCTCCCCATACAAGCTTCCTCTACAGAATGAATGTCACACAAACATGGACAACAGTTTTGAGAAAACTTGTAAACATTTGAACTGGGAATGACTGCAGTGTGGGGACATGGCAGGGCCCATGGAGGCTGTCCACACAGGGTTACTCAGCCTGAGGAACACCACTTGCTTGTCATGCACTGAGATGTCCTGTGCTAGTGAAGTCCTGGTGCTCTACACCCCACTTTGCACGTCTTTTTCAAGAAAAACCCATGGATCAATGTTGGAAAGCTTTTAAGGCCAGAAAAAAACGCTATGGAATCTTAAGCAGTTTTGAAACTCCATGTCTGGTTTAGACAACAAACTGCTTGGACAGTGTTCTATCGCAAAAGTGACAATAAATCCTGACCAGATAAGGTTTACACTGGAAAAAAGTTTCTACTTGCTGTTTAATGAAGTGACTATGTCTCCTAATATGCCATTATATCACCAAGTACCCCAGAGGGACAGACAACAGAAAACAATGCAGTCATGGTGCTGTGCACAGATAGATCTGAACATATACAAACACAGAGGCAGAGGTTTGCTCAGCTCCTTAAAGAAGCCTTCCTAAAGCCCACATGCCTCTTAGCACATTTCATTCCCTTTCTCCACTGCAAATGCCATTCCCTGAACAGACATGCATCTTATGATATGCTATGCTAGCAAAGTACACTTAATTCACTTAAAATAAAAAAATGAAATTATCCAAGGTTTTCACCAGGTCAGAAATAAAACTCTCTTTCATTCCTTCATTGCTTTAGTTAATCCAAAAAACTTGTAAGTGCTGCACAGCCTTGTGGGGTGCTTTCTTCTGTGACCATAGGAACTGGTCTGCTTTAGCCAAAAAGCTGAGAAAACCCATGGCAGGCAAAGCCCCCAGCATGGGGCTGCCTGAGGTAAGAGCCAGATTTTTCTTAACACAGTGTGTGTTTTCTGCATTACTTTTACTTGGTTTAAAATCAAATCAGCTCATTTTTTAGTGACAAAACAAGCAGAGACACAAATGGTGCAACACAGAAGTCCATGTGGACATGCAGTTGCTTTTCCTCTTCATCTACACGTGCCTGGGGCAGGACGGCAATGTGCCTCTGCTGGGTGGGCACTGCCCAGGGAACTTCCTTTGCTAGAGGGATCCCGAGAAGGTCCACCTTGCTTCTGGAGAAACACAAACCTGAATCTGGACCTGAGAATGAGGGCAATATTTTTCTTTACAAACTTTATTTTCTCATATCTCTGTTACATAACTGTTCTGTTCAGAGAGACTCAAAGACAAGACCATTACTGCAGCAGATGGAGTGGGGCACAGAGCTCTGATGTGGGCCTGGACAAAATGCTCACAGCTTCTAAACAGTGTTTAAAGCCATGTCTGAAAAACTCCCAGAGAAAAGAGATTTCACAGAATATTCTGAGTTGGAAGAGAACTACAAGGATCATCGAGTCCAACTCTTAGGTGAATAGACCATATGGGGATCAAACCCACAGCCTTGGTGTTATTAGCACCAAGCTCTATAAAGCTTGAAGTCCAGAAGGGTAAGGACCTGGGGAGGGAATTCTTCAGTTTTATGGGAAAGGTAAACCTTCAGCTCCACTAACACATTGCTTGGATACTATAGTACAGAGGGATATGAAAATACAAACAAATCAATGAACTTCAAGAGCCCCACAATTAGTGTCACCCAGATGTTCCTCTCACCACAAAAAAAAAATAGTCATACTCTACTGAAACAAAGCATGCCTAAATCTTAGTATATTAGCCAAAGTCTTAAAGTTATCTGAGAAATTACAAAATCCTGCTGCCTTGAGCATCCACCTGCATGATCCATATCATAGCAGCCTTAGTCAAAAAAAGGAACAAAACCCAAAACAGTTTATCCTTACTGTGTCACTGCACATCATACACACCCATCTCACTACAGTCACCCACATGAAAAACATTGCCTGTGGTCTAAGAAGCAGCAGTTCCTAAGCCAAACACTGTCTTGCTGCTTTGTAGCATTGATAAATCACATTCCTGCCTTACTTTCCTTTCTGTGTCTGGGTCTGCTTCCTCTGTAAGACAAGCAAGCTCCCTTGGAACTACTCTGATTTACATGAACTGAGTACAGGCCTACTTTTATTTTCAAAGACAAACCTAAACTAGGATTCTTTGCACTGCTCCTGCCCACTCACCAACTCAGTATGTTAAAATATTTTCTAGACATAAGCAAGGAAGGGAGACTGCAAATCCATTAAGCAACCAGATCCTGAAAACTTCGCTGTCAGGGCCAGGCAGTCACAGTAACCTGGGAGCAGCAAGAATACATGGACACTCAGCTTTGACAAACAAGGACTTCCCTTCATTGCCTTGGCAAGAAATTGTCCCCAGCAGAGGCACTGGGCTCAGATTTGTGATTTCTATATCCACCACGCTTCACACAGCAAAGCAAAAACTAAGTGCAACCCTACTCACTGTGCTGTGCTTCAAGTCAGGAACACACCTACTGGGGCTTACAAATTCCAAAATTCTTCCACTCAGGATGTGCAAATGGAAGTCAGGGACAGTACTGTGAGGTCTGGGCTGGCAAAGCCAAGAAAAATCATGTCAGAGTTTCCACATCAGAAGAACTCAATACAAACTTCGAAAAAATGCCAACCCACTGACCTGATCTGAGCAACTGTTTCAGTGGTGGAACTTAGAGCTTGGAGAGACCCACATGTACCAGCATAACATACCCTTTCCAGTTTCTGCTGGATACCCAGATTCCCAAACAGCACATGCAAGGTCATCATTTGGATCCTGTAACTGCACTAATCAAAACAGAAAAAATAAACCCAAAGCATGATCTGATCTCTTACGAGGCTCTTAAAACTATTTGATGTCAGAGTTAAAGCACTCCAGCATAGTACTGCTCAAGACTTCAAAGAATAAGTAACTAATGCTATTTACAAACAATGCAAGCAAAATGCAAATAATAATAATTACAAATAAAGTAATTATGAATGCATTTGTGCCAACTGCTGCCTTCCTAAATAAATGAAGGTACCTGAAATCCCTGATGAGAGGCTGTATGGAGAAAATAACTGACATTAAAGGACAATCTTGACCCAAAGAGCTGCTTTTCCTTCTACTTTTCTTTTTAAGCCATACACACAAAAGGCAAATTTTCCAAGTTACTGCTAGTACACGCTGATAGAAGTGAGATAAAACTTGTAGGCAAATATCTTAATCTACCTTTTAAAAATACCTTCTCTTCCCTCCTCCAGGCCCCAAATTTGTGACAGATTAAGTTCTCCTCTGCAGGAGACATTTAATGCTAAGCAAACATTAACAGTCAGAACTGCAGAAGACAGAGGCTGACAGATACTTCCTCTGGCTTGTCCCATCTCAGACTTGTGAGACATATGAGATATATATGGTTTTGTCTGAAATGAACCTATAAATGTTCAGCTTTTTCTTAGGCAGATTATTCTACATTTCTCTCCCCCTTCCCCACACCCCCTGCACCCCTTCCCCCCGCCCTCTTTCATCACTCATGAATTTTATCTTGCAAAGTGATGGGGAGGCTAAAAATCCCCAGCAGTGTAGCCAGGAAACATCCTACCTGCTGTAATCAGTTAGGAATAGCCTAGGTTTTTTAAGGCAATGCATTTTTTTTTATTCTCTAGCCACAATTTATTTCCTTTCTTCTGTCATTTGCTTTTGCATGCCTTGCAGCTACCTTGAACTTCTCCTTTCTGAAGGCAGCTGTTGGACCACACCCCAAAAACTGCTACTAAATTTCTCTTTGCTACCACTGATATTTCCCTCAATCCCCATATCCTTTTCACACTAGATTGAAACCAATGGATGCACTTCAACTGTTCCTTTCCCTTTCCTTTGGAGATGAAATCACTGAAAAACTGAGGCGGAACAGGATCTCTGGATATCACTGAGTACAAACACCCACGCCTCCAACCTGGGCCAATTCCAAAGTTTGATCCAACTTCAAAGCAAGCTGCTCAGGGTCACATTAGTTAAGTTTTGAATGTCTCTGAGCACTGAGATTCCCCAGTCTCCCTGGACACCTCTTCCAGTGTATGATAACCTGCCTCGTGAAAAAATTTTTTTAAACAGCTGTCCAAGGTGTGTCCAAGTTACCTGGTGGCAAATGGAACAAGAGCATCTCACAGATGCACCAGTCTATCAGAACTCTCAGGAGCACCTCATCTTCACCAGTCTCAATCCTTGCATCTTCCTTATCATATCACTCCTACCCTTGACTTGAAAACAAGTGTGCGAACTATTTTCCTTGTCCACTCCTAACATACCTCTGCAGACAATTTGTGTTTCAGTACAAAAAATTCAGGCATTTTGCACTTGCCTGATGGCTCATCACAATCTTCCCATTTCAAATATTTGACAGAAAACACAGAATAACCAAGAGTAAAAGAGATGTCTAGAGGTCATCTTGCCCAACCCTCAGGTGAATCACTTTCTCAGTCACTTCTTTTCTATCACATCATCCACCTATATCTTCTTTTAACATAAATATCTCTTTGTCACCCACATGCACAAAGACCTTGTCCACTGAACTCATCTATTGCTTTTTTAAAACCCAAGAACCAGTTCTGCAGTACTTCCTACTATATCAGCCAGTGGCTTGAGGAAGAAATGGTGCTAACTCACACCTACCTTTCTATTCATACACAATGCAACCAAGTAAAAGCAGAAGACATGTTTGAAGCTCTCCAGAACCAGTGCCAAGCAGCCTTTAAAGGCATTAGAAAATATGGACTAGATTCTTTTCCAAGTAAATGCATCAATTTCTAGAGGCTGTCTAGCTAGGTTGTCCCTGGAAACATCCCTGAAGCTCTAAGCTTCACCAGTGGCAAAGGACCACCACTAGCTGGCATTGCTCCATTGTGTCCTCTCCACAGCAATGTGGCAGCCCACCCTTTGGCTTGCAGGTATTAAGACTTGGCTCAGCATGCCTACCTTCCTTCACAAGTCCATCTCTCAAAAGAGGATTTGTGTGTTCATTGTCTGCAAGCAGTATCCAACTTCTATAAAACCAAAGTGGTGGATTCTCCTAAGAGAACAAATCCAATAGGAAGAGCCTTCCAGAAAATCTTCTCAGAGATTATTCCCACACAGTCTGCTCTTCTAGATACAACAGAGATGGGGCAGTTTCATTAGAGACTGAAGAGGAACAACTTTATCCAGTATCTTGGAGTGACAATGATGCAGTTGAGCTGTGTATTTCTTACCCCTCTCCTGCACGCCATAGGTAGACTTAACCAGCCCTGACAGAGATACAGACAAAGCATCTGGCAGGTACAAAGACCAGGCTGTAAGCAACACTCACCTTTAAAAATCTTGGGACTGGAAGCACAGTGCCTATTCTAGTCTTTAATTGGCTGTGTGTCCCATGTATTTTGTTCTATCCAAGCTTGTCCTGTAAGATAAAAGTACGCAATTACTGAAGAAGTCAATAAAACACAATCATGTTAAATACACAATTTATTAAAACACAACATCCTGATGAATATGCTCAGTTTAATTGCCACCTTAATTTATTGTACATTAGCAGTAATGAAAAGCTTTTAATATGCAGTGAGGGATTCAATTTCTCAGAATCTCTTTAACAATCTTTGGGGTGTTTTAAATGCCCACAGACCACATGTAAATCTATAGTCCCATTACACATGCACCTCATCCCACAACAGGACTAGATTAATACCAGCTGCACCTTCAATATTTTATAGGAGGTTTAGACAAACTTTAATCTGCTGTGACTTTACAGCCCATTTACTGGGAAAATGGAAAAGGCAGAAGAAGGGAGATGGAATGCATCTTTGGGAGGCCCAGCCATTAGGAGCAGCAGCCTGAGACATTGGGCATTATCTCTCATTCTTCCAGCCAGCTCTCAAATCAAGTTGAGCAAACTATATCCTCTCCCTCTGCCTCACTGTCACTGCCTGGGAAGCAAGAACAGAGAGGAAACAGCAAAGCCACCACCCTGTCCACCCAAAGCGTTAGATACACAGGTGCAGGCACAGAGACTCAAGGGCAGACTGCCACTGCCCTTAAGTTAACAATTACAATTTTTTTAGTAAATTTTAATTTCTGCCTGCACAACGCTAGTGTCAGCTTTTGACTAGGCAAAGGTGAGGAGAGACTACAGATTAACATGCAAGGCATGTGTTTGACTTGCTTTCTCAGGGCACCCTCTCCAATGGTGTTTTTTCCACCCATTTGACACAGTCCCAACCCCACACTCCGCAGAGTCTGTGGGGAAGGGGCACTCATTAACCCTTCAAACAGCACCCCATGCCATAAGAGCCCAGTATTCACATAGGGTCGCTCAGCACTATAATTCACTCATCCTTTGTAAATGGTTTTGGCATACTTGCAGCTTTGCTGAAGCCACTGCTTCCCTGTGAGGCATTAGATAAGTCACCTGGGTCTATCCCTGCTCTCTCAATGCCAGCATTTCATATTGATTTCTGGAGTGGGTGCATTTAACATCTGTTTCCCACAAACATTTGTAAATGCGCCTTTGAAAATTGCCTCCCATTAAGACTTCTGTGAGCAAAAGTCTATCATTTGTTGTTGGCAGGAAGCGAACAAGGAGTTTCAAGGTGGCTGAAACTATTACAATATAATACATATAATGAATATTCATAGATCTTTCATTTTGCATTAATCGCTCACATTTAATGTCCTTCCTCTGTCACTGTAAATGTACATCTCTAGATGAAGAGCAGAGATGGCTTCCCTTTTGAAATCTGGAAGGTGCAAACATCCATTGCCCATTGACCCATCTCTGCTGTGAAGTGCTGAGGGCATGTGCCCTTTACAATGCTGGGTAGGAAGGCTGCCCTGGATCAGTACAGCTTCTCCATCAGTGTGAAAGTTCAGAGGGTGCCATGTGACTGGCTGGGAGACAGCTGCAGCAGATCCAGGCATGTCTGAAGAGGCCTTTGGAGAACCTACAGCTAGGACAAGGGACAATGTCACTGCCTCACAATAGAGAGCCCCTTTTTGACAGTCAGAACCCAGTGCCCACCCTGACCTTTTTATCTATTTCTTTGGTGTGTGGGGACACTTCACCCTGTGTTTTGCATGTGCCACTGAGAGATAATTTCTTCAGTTGTCCTGTCCTGTGATGCCACTGTTCTGGGATAGCTGCTGCCAAGAGAAGATGGCTCTAACTTTAGAGCAGAGATGACTCTGTGTTATATAAACATATCATTAGGAAAATAACCAGAGTGATAAGATTCCTGCTCCTACTGTGTATGCATATAATTACATCCCTCCAAGCCCTCAAAGGTCTGCCTGGGAGAGGAATTTTATTTTTTTTTATTCCTCATATGTCACAATATTTTAAAGAAATTATAGCACCACAGAGAGGAAGAGCTTAAATGCTTCAGTAGGTACCAGCAGGTGCTGTGTCAGAAGAGATGAAAGACCGCAATTGGTGCCAAACAGCAGCAATGCTCCATCTTACTCTGTGGCCCTAAAGGGGAGGAAGTCCCTACTAAACAGACTCTCTTTGGTTAATAGCTACAATTTTGTCATTAAGGAGAACTGCAGAAAGTGCAAAACCACCATACCTAATTGTGACTTGAGCAAGCTGATGCCTTCAATTACAGTTGCTGGGGGAACACAGTGGAAGCCAGAGCACTGGCTGAGGCCAAGCCCCATCCTTAGGACTACGCAGTGCAGCCACGCTGCCTCAGCCAGCAGAGCAGCTGTGGCTGGCATGTTGTCCTGCCCCTGTGCTCATCCCACAGCCACTACATCAGCTCTCCTTGCTGAGCACTGGCTTCTCTTGACATTCGCATTGCAGCTGTTTGTGAGGAGCGGGCTTTGATGAAGGAAAAGAAGATAAACATGCGCCTCCTGCTTGTCTCATGCCACAAGAAAGACAGTCGGAGCCCCAGAGCAAAGAGGAATGGGGCAAAGAGAGGCTGATACGGTCAGCAGTAGCAAGTACGGTAGCACGTGAAACAAGAAATAAATGAAGGATGCAGGATGGAGAAGCAAGGCCTGTCTTTGTGAGAAATCTGACCTCCTGCATGTTGACTACAGCAGGAAGGGCCACCAGATGGACTGCTTACAGATGTCCTGCTTCACAAGGGCTCCTAGATACTGCTAGCCCCCTGTGCTCACCACGTTTGCAGGATCCATAGAAACCAAAATGCATGCCAACCCATATGTTCAACCAAAGCAAAAATTGAAGACAGAAGTAGTTTCCTGCTGGATCTTTGCAACAGGTCAGTGCTTTTATAGTGAAAGGTGAGGAAAAACATCTCTCTGAAAGCAGGATTGGGATAAGCCTTGCAATGGCTTCAGAAAAAAGTAAAGCATTTGCTGCTCCTGAACTGCACCTTGGCACAAGCTGTTTACATTATCCTGTAACTATTGCTCCTACATAAATAACTAATTGTACTGGAATTTCATAGCACTTGCACAGCAGAATCGTTGCTATGACACAACTATATTACTGCATATAAATCCAATTAGATTCCAAAGTGCAGTGTGTAACTGTAATCGGCCCCTGTGGAGCAGCGATGAGAGGACCTGCACAAGACCATGCAACTCGATACTAAATTACAGTCAATCTACCTCCCCTTTAGTTGCATTAAAATGCTAATGTCACTGTAACGTGGGCCCATTTAGCAGCAATGACTGCCTTGCCTTGCAACACTGGAGTGAATGAGGCTGTTGCTTTGCCTCAGAGCATTTAATTCCTTGGTATACAGTTGAGTGATCAAAGCCCGTAGGGGCACCTTATACCTTAAAACAATAACCTGACTGGCTTTTATAACACTAAAAGCATATGAGGCTTGGGACAGTGTTTAAATGAATCAGAGCTGCTGCTAAAACTACCATAAGTTTCCTACCCAAGCAGACCAACTGAATCCCATCCCATCCTGACTGCTTTTAACAAAGACACATTTCTGCCACCAAACGGCTGCACAGTAGGAGCACATTAGTCTTACACAGAAGGAAAAAGAGGGCTGGACTGAACCCCTTAAAACTTCATACAAATAATACCAGCATTGCAACAAAAGCAATAATACAACAGTTACCATCTACGTTTCATATTTGCAACTTTGTAAAATGTGTGCATAGAATATGTGAGATCACGTGGAGGTAAAATCTCCCACATGTACACAGACATTCAAAATGGAAATTCCGAAGTGGCAAAGCAGAATCAATTCTCCTAAATGTTGTAACGTTTTGAAAAGTGCTACAGTATGTGTTTGAAGTGCCAGTATGGCTTCAGGCCACAGAGCACTCCATTTCAAGTAGTGCAAATGTGCCACACCGCTGGAAACCACACTGCTGGAAACATGAACTGCTCACCTGGGCCCCTTCACAAGCAAAGTTAGATAGGTAATCACATCTGGCTCTTTCACACAGCTTTTCACACACAGCCACCAGCTGTCTCAGAAGAGGAGATACTGCATACAGAACCAACACATCTAATAGCCTGCAACTCTTTTTAAGTTCTGCTGCTTTATAAAAAAATCCCCAGATAGCTCACAGGTGTATTTTCCCTTGTATTAACCACAGTACAATGGAACCATATGGTACTGATTGTCTGCCTCTCTAAACAGATGATCCGAAGATTATATGCACTGATGATATAACAACATTAATTTTGTTTATCAGATAAGAAAAACAAAGCTAAAAGGAGAATGGATATGCTAAACCTCCTGACCCCAAATACAACCCTATGTTCACCAGTCCATAATGAGATCAGCCCCAAAACCATGAAAAAACTGATCACTTCTGGCTGATAAGTTATACGCTTTGCCAGGCATCTTGTATCCCAGAAAGCAGTTATTTATCATACCAAAAGGGAGGCAGCTAACTTTGGCCTCCTATTTCTGAAAATATTTCCTTTCTGGATGGAATAAATGTCACCATCCTGAGTGGATCATGGAGTTGCATCACAAGCCAAGTGACATTATCCACTGTCATGTCAGATACTGTCAAGTGTTGAAACACTCCATACGCTTGCACGGCATTCCAGACGCTGAGGGGATTTAACATGAAGTGTAAATGCCTGCCACTTTTTCCCTGAGCCTGACACATCTCACCTTTACAACAACTGACTCCTCGGTGCTCTTTTCTGTTCTCTCTTTCTATAGCCTTGCTTTGTTTGCAACAAATGCCTCAGCAGTTTGTGGCATTCATGATGATTTTGAAAGATGAAGGAATAAATTTCAGAAATACTGGAGAGTTGCTGTGGCAACCTTGTCCTCCTCAGACCACAATTTCCAATATTTTAAGAAGTTTCTTGATACTTTGCAGGCTTCAGGGAAACCAGGCAGAGCAGGAAAATGATTTTAAAGTAAGGATGTTACTAAAATGGATTACTGTGAGCCACAGGCCCTTGTCCTGTCAAAGAGATGATGATGATGTCCTTAGCAAGAAAAA